AAATCTTAGTTGCATACACTTGGGAGTGTATTTTGAAGATCGAGCCAGCATGTTTTGTGAATGAACTCGAAGTGGGGTGGAGGAGAAAAGAGGAGTCAATGACAGCTGCAAGGTTCGGATGCCAGGAGGTGAGATGAGGAGCAACAGCTGTAGAGGAGGAAGGTGATGGGTGGTGGGGGTGGAAGGAGTGGTGCAGAAAAACAACTTTTAGTTTGAGTCACCCTTTGAATTTCCTGGTGGAGATGGTGATAGCAAGTAGGAGTGTGAGTTGACAGGAGAGATCAGAATGGGAGGTACACGTGTGGAAGTTATCAGTGTCTGCTGCTACAAGATACTTCCAGTGCGTCCTAAATCCAACCCCTTCGTACCCCTCCCACTGCTACCAGCCTGCACTGAGCAACCCTTCTGCCTTACGTGGCTTTCTGTAATAGATTTATACCAGGTCTCTTTGCTTCTAAATTTGCCTCTCTACATTCCATTTCCATAAAACAGCCAGAATCATATATATTCTCTTATTCACAGTCCTCACTTAGCTTCCTATCATCCCTCAAATTCGTATGGAACCACAAAATACCCTAAATAGCCAAACCAACCTTGAGAAAGAAGAACAAAGCTGGAGGTCTCACACTTCCTGATTTCAGAATATATTATAATATTCAGTAATTACAACATTATAGTACTGGCATAAAGACATACATATAGACCAATGGAACAGAATTAAAAGCCTAGAAATAAACCAATGTATATACAATCAGTTAAACTTGAAGGAGGGGGCCAAGAACACACAATGGGGAAAGCACAGTCTCTTTAATACATGGCACTGGGAAAACTGAGTATCCACATGCAGAAGAATGAAATTAAACCGTTATTTCATACCACACACAAAATTCTATTCAAACTAGATTAAAGACTTAAATGTAAGATTTAAAACTATAAGACTTCTACAGGAAAACGCAGTGGAAAATTTCTTGATATTGTTCTAAACAATGAGTTCTTGCGTATTCCTCACTATGGCCAACAGGCCTTAATGAGCTCTGGCGCAGACTACTCTCCACATTCATTTCCAATTCTCTGCTACTCATTTGTTTAGTTCCAATTTAGTGAACTCGTAACTTTTAATTGAAAACATCTATAAAAATCTAATCTCGGGATGAGAATGTGGAGAAATTAGAACACTTACACATTGTTGATGAAGATATAAAATTATGCAGCCACTGGGAAAAACAACTTTGTTATTTCCCAAAAGTTAAACATAAATTACCATCTGATTTTGGTATATATCGAGGAGCAATTCCACTCCTTGATATATACCAAAAAGAACTGAAAACGGGAACTTGAGTAAGTACATGTACCCACATGTTCACAGCACATGATTTACAATAGCCAAAAGGTGAAACAAAGCAAATGTCCATCAATAAATGAATACATAAACAAATTATAGTATATACATACAATAGAATATTATTTAGCCATAAAAAAGGACTGACAAACTGATATGTGCTACAGTGTGGATGAACCTCCAAAAAACATTGTGCTAAATTAGAGGAGCCAAACACAAAAAGTGTATATTACATGATTCAATTTAAGGAAATATCCAGAATAGATATATCCATAGAGACAGAAAGCAGATTGGTGGTTGCCAGTGGCTGGGGGTAGTGGAGAAAATCTGTGTAATGGGCAAGAGGTTTTACTTGGAATGACGAAAGTTATTTGGAATTAGACAGAGGTGGTGGTGACATAATACTGTGAATTTAATAAATGACAGTGAATTTTTCCTTTAAAATGATTACTTCTGGCTGGGTGTGGTGGCTCACGCCTGTATTCCCAGCACTTGGGAGGCCAAGGCAGGCAGATCACAAGGTCAGGAGTTCAAGACCAGCCTCGCCAATATGGTGAAACCCCATCTCCACTAAATATAAAAAAATTAGCTGGGTGTGGTGGCACAGCTGTAGTCCCAGCTACTTAGGAGGCTGAGGCAGGAGAATCACTTGAACCTGGGAGGCAGAGGTTGCAGTGAACCGAGATCCTACCACTGGACTCCAGCCTAGGCAACAGAGCAAGACTCCATCAAAAAAAAAAATACTTTTATGTTATGTGAATTTTACCTCAATAAATTATGATTAATGTAATCTTGAGGCATTTTCATTTGCTGTTCCTTCTACCTGGGCCACTCTTACTCTGCCAGCCTAATGGCCTGTTGTCTCACTGTATTGAGCTTTCAGCCTAGGTGTCATCTGCCTAGAGGATTTCTCTGACTTCTCAATATAGCATCCCTTTTCGCTGTCTTTCTTTTTACTTTACTTTATTTTTCCAAATTATAATTCAATATTATATGTATGCATATGTAAATGTATGTGTGTATGTGTACGTATATGCTTTATCATAGATTTATCTCTTTGTTCTGCTACTATTTACTATGTGGCTATGTGACCTCAGGTAAGTCACTTGAACTTCTTTAATCCTCAGTTAATGCAAATGGAGATATTAAAATCATCCATGTAGTTTGTTCAGAATTAAGTGAAATAAGGCATATAAAATGATTGACAGAGTGTCTGGGACTATAGTAGGTGCTCAGTAAATTAGGTTATTAGCTTCAGCTTTTATAGAGTAGACCTATGAGCAGCGGCAGTGAAAGGAAGAGAGAAGGTGCCTGAGTGAGTTAATAGTCATGTTCTTTACTGAGCCTGAGAGCAGAATGACTCTGTGGACTCTTAACAGAGGAAAATGTGTAGAGAACAGTGACCTCATGTCTGTTTCTAGTCAGTGGGAAAGTGAATGTGAGCTACTGTCTCAGTTCATTTGTGCTGCTATAACAAAATACAAGAGTCTACGTTATTTATAAACAATAAAAATTTATTTCTCACAGTTTCAGAGGCTGGAAGTCCAAGGCCAAGGTGCTGGCAGATTGGGTGTGTGGTAAGGACTGTTCTTTGCTTCCAATATGGCAACTCATTGCTGTGTCCTCACATGGAGGGAGGTGGGAGGGAAGAAACACGTTTCTTCAAACTTTTTTTTTTTGAGACAGAGTCTTGCTTTGTCCCTCAGCCTGGAGCGCAGTGGCGCTATCTCGGCTCACTGCAAGCTTCGCCTCCCGGGTTCACGCCATTCTCCTGCCTCAGCCTCCTGAGTAGCTGGGACTACAGGCGCCCGCCACCACGCCTGGCTAATTTTTTTTTTTTGTATTTTAGTAGATACAGGGTTTCACCGTGTTAGCCAGGATGGTCTTGATCTCCTGACCTCGTGATCGGCCCGTCTCGGCCTCCCAAAGTGCTGGGATTACAGGCGTGAGCCACTGCACCCGGCCTCTTCAAACTTTTTAATAAACTCCCTATTCTATTTCTGAAGGCTCTTCCCTCACAGCTTAATCATCTCCTAAAGGTCCCACCTCTTAATGCTATCACGTTGGCCATTAAGCTTCAACATATGAATTTGGGAGGGATACATTCAGACTATAGCAGCCGCAGAGCAAACAGTATTGATGGCAACAGACAATATAGAAGGACTACAAGCTTGACTGGAAGCAAGTCAAGGAAAGAACTGTTGGTTAATCCGGTGTTGGTTTTGGATGGAGACTTTAACGTGCTCGAATATACAAAGTAAAGAGGAACATCAAAGGTACCAAAGAGACCAATGGAGCAAATTTCCAGAAAAGGCAGAGGTGACGAGACCATAAGGTAATCTTTGACTCTCAGAGAAACCAGCATTGCCCATAACCTTAGATGTATTTATAAGTTCTACCTTATTGAGCTTATTATGCTCCATGAACCATTTCCAGCACATTAGATTTGAATTAAAATTGAAGTTGCTTATATGCTCTCTTTCACCAGGCAACCTCCCTCTGGTTAGGGAGAGAAGGAAGTAAATTCATGATAATGAGCACGTGCTGTGATTTATGTATATAGATTAGGGGATTGAGGAGACAGGGGAAAGATCCAACAGCTCATCTGGGGATGTTTGGGACAAACAAGTTTCTTTTTTAAATGGGAATTAGAATAACGATATTTTTTCAGGATCATTTCAAAACCTATATTTGTGACATGGTAGAAATTTTCAAACATACAAGTCCAGACCTAACAGTAATCCAGATTCTGCTGTACTTGTTCCATTTATCTCTGTTTTAACTGTTGTTGTTGAAGTACTTTAAAAGCAAATCCAAGACTTCCTGCATTTCACTTCCATACTTCACCATATTATAATTCAAAATAAAAATCATCTTTTTTTAACATAGTCTCAATGCCTTTGCAACACTTAACAAGATTAATAGTAATTTCTCAGTAACATAACAATAACACCCTATTAAAATACCTCTAATCATATCAAAAAACTGTTTTGTGTTTGGTTTTTTCACACGTGGACCAAATAATATTCCGCAAACTTTCTTTGCTTTATCCCATTGATCCTTTTTAATTCAGCGTATTTCCTATTCTTTTTTGAAGAAATTGATTTGTTAAAGAAACTGAGTCAAGTAGCGGGTTATATCACACTTTCCTCAGGTACACATCAGTTCAGGTTTTTTAAAGTCAATGATAAATAGAGTCCTTTATTATATTATAAATCAAAGAACGACCCAGCTTTTCTGAATCTAACAGTGACAAATTAGACACATACTTGACTGCTAAAGCTAAATCAGTCATTTCTCAGATAATGCTAAAAAGTAAACTTAGTTGGATCCAATAGCTTTTACTGTAGTTTTAGGGTGTTACACTAGTTAACTAACATGTTTTCAATAGCAGTAGCAAAACAAATAATTTAATATATCATTATCAGTGATTTAATAATATCAGATATTATTATCTGGGAATCACAAGCCTATTTTCAAAAGCAACAATATATCTGAAGGGAATGTGAACTGTGTGACACTAACAGCTTCTCTTTTATTTCATCTCTATATTTTCTATCTCTCCCTCCTCCCCTCTCTCCTTTCCTTCCTCTTGTTCCTTTCTCCCTTTTCTCCTCTTCCTCCACCTCCTCCTTTTTCTCTTCCTTCTCTCTCACATCATCTTCTTTTCTCCCTTAACTAGCTTTCTTTTTCTCCTGTTGAGTTAGGGGAAAATAAAAGTGGTTGGGACTGTCTCATTGCCCTGGTTTATTTAAACACATAGATGTCTTATTAGAGAAACCTTTGAGTCTCCCAAAGGTTCATTTCCTTAGGCTTACTCTGGGCTTTCTGCAGGTGGATTCCAATTCACTGACTTCACACACATGTGCACACAGATGCACACATATCAGCATAGGAACATTAAGATTCAGTTGCACTAATTTGAGAGGAAACATTTCTGCTTAAGGCAAATCTATTGACATGCTAAGGAGTGGTGTCACTTGTCATAAAGCATGCTTTTTATTTCCCTCACAGTCATGTTGATTACTTATATGCTCTAGGAAGAAGCAGTAGGAACTATAAACATAGGTTTATAGATGTATTTATCTTCTAGCTATCTTTATCCTCAGAGAGATGATTCTCAAAGTCTGGACCAAAGTATGGACCAAAACTATGGTGGGGCTATAGAGTACCAAACAGCTGTCCTCACAACCACGTATGCACCAGCCATTATTGATACACGAAATAATGCTGTCTACCACATATATATAAGATTGAAGTATATCATATTGCTAATATTCCATTCCTGTCCTATGTAAATAGCAGTTTCATATGGTTTATCCTAACTCTAATGACACACTTATACATATGCATTTATATAAATACATTATTTTTCAAATATATGAAAAAGCTATTGTGATTACATAAATGTATGTAACACTTCATTGAATTTATTGTTGCTTTTAAAAAATCTTTACTGCTGGAGTAATTGAGTTAAAAGGGGTCTAGTCAAAGAGGGGTGATGGGATGTTTTAGCTTCCTATTGGTGCTGTAACAAATTATCACAAACTCAGTGACTTAAAATGAATTAAATTGATTATATTTCTTATTGGTCAAGCTGTCAGCAGGGCTTTTGGAGATTCTAGTGCAGAAATGATTTTCACGCCTTTTCCTACTTCTGGGGGCCTCCTGCATTCCTGGGCTTGGGCCTCTTCCGTATTCAAAGCCTCTCAAGTTCAATTCTTACTTTGGTTTCATTTTGCTTTATCGACATGGTAAAACCTTGGTCTCTACAACCCTTTATCTTAACTCAGACATTCCTTTCTATTGAGTCCAGGTCTTTAGATGAACTTTTTCAGCCAATTGCCAACAGAAAATTTTTGAATCGACCTATGATCTGGAAACCCCTCTCCCCACTTCAAGTTATCTTGCCTTTCTGAGCAGAATCCATGTACATCTTACCTGTATTGATTGATGTCTTACATCTCACTAAAATGTATAAAACCAGGCTGTAGCCCAAGTACCTTGGGTGCACGTTCTCATGATTTCCTAGAGCTGTGTCACAGGCTATTGGTCCGTTATATTTGGCTCGGTAGAATTCTTTTCAAATATTTTTCAGAGTTTGACCCTTTTCATCTACAGTCTTAAAAGGCAAGCATTAGTGGCCAGGCAGAGATGAGAAGATGACCCAGCAAGGCTCCCCGTGCACCAGGAGTTAGACACTCTGAATGGCTTTAGACGAGTCACCCAAGCACTGGGTCACAGCACACTTTCCTCGGGTACACATCAGCTCAGGTGTAAATAGAGCAATGCAGATAGCGAGAGTGGTATGAAGCTGCCAATTTGCAAATGAGACTCTGAAGACAGACATGGGGATACCTCGGCATCTGGGCCTTGGAGATAAATGAAAAGCTGAAGGTCTGAAATCCCCCTGCATTTGGGAACACTGGCACCGGGAAGGGGCGGGAGGTTGAACCATGGAAGACTGTGTTGTCAGTGTGGTCCTGGGTAGGCTTCTCACAATTTCTAGGTTGTGGTCTTGGAAATAGCTGAGGTGACAAGGACGTAAGGACATAAAAGTGATTCATGTCATCAGATTTGAGGCTGAGCTTCCACTGGAGTATCTGTTAAATAGGAACAAAAATGCATACATGCATAATTGTGATGAGTACTAAATGAGAAGACTGAGGTGAGGCAGGGTCTCATACTAGCAACTTGCAGGACAAATGCAGCCTGCACAGTGGATTTGGCTTGGCACGTGAACACCCATGAGATAAGCACTCATTTTCAAGAAACACTATGGTCCCCAGGAGGTAGTGCCCCACCTAGGACCCTCAGTTTTGTTTGTTGGATATGCCTAAACATTCTAGTGTAAGAACGCTGATGAATGGACAGACTCATTCAGCAAGTCATGACCATGGTGTGAAGGGAGATAATGAGAGGGCGTTAAATGAAGAAATAACAGGGAAGACTTTTTTTTTTTTTTGAGACGGAGTCTCACTTTGTCACCCAGGCTGGAGTGCAATGGTGCTATCCCAGCTCACTGCAACCTCTGCCTCCCAGGTTCAAGCGATCCTACTGCTTCAGCCACCTGAGTAGCTGGGATTACAGGCACCCAATACCATGCCTAACTAATTTTTGTATTTTTAGTAGAGACAGGGTTTCGCCATGTTGGCCAGGCTGGTCTCGAACTCCTGACCTCATATGATCCATCCACCTCGGCCTCTCAAAGTGCTGGGATTAAAGGCATAAGCCACCATGCCTGGCCCAAGGAAGACTATTTCTTGCTAAAAACAATGTTCAATTTTTGTTTCCAATCCAAATAGTTGTTACATGCTTTATATTTTGTCCATATTAGCCTATTATTAGGAAAGATGATCAGTTTAACTCTCAACTTAGGAACCTCTGCCTTTCTGAATCAGCAGTTTCTCCCCCTTTAACCTAAATCTAAAAATATTGGTCACTGCGTATGAGCCAACTAATACACAGGAAAAGTTGAGACAGACAAGCACCTGGATTTTTCTTTAAATAAAACCATCATGCTTTCAGTTAGCCATGAGTTGATAACTGTTGAAGCTGGGTGATGTGTACATGGCAGCTCATTACACTCTGCTTTTGTGTCTGTGATTTCCATAATAAAATAATGGGTCCTTTACTCTGCAAGGTGGTGCACCTGGCACAATGAAGACTGTGTACACCTACAGCTGAGACTTCAACATCAGACCAGCTTTTCTGGAAGCAAAGTCTATCTGTGAACTGGAACCTAAACCACATTTCAGAACTGCCACTGCTGGTGACTTTGAGAAGTCACATGAACACAAAGTCATTGCCTCCAAAATAACTCTCTTCCATCTTTGGTGGTAATATTTGTCTTTCTGTGAACTGTTCATTTCAGAGACTGTTATCTCTTCTACATTGAGGAAGTCATAAATGATGCCTGTCCCTTCCCTTGTTGAAAAGACAGTTGACGAGAATGTGTGCAGGTACCTGGTTCTTGGATGCTCATTAAGAGATAACTACTTGACTCCAATCTATACTACAAGGCTACAGTAACCAAAACAGCATGGTACTGGTACAAAAACAGACACATAGACAAAAGGAACAGAATAGAGAACTCAGAAATAAGACTGCACACCTACAACAATCTGATCTTCAACAACCTGACAAAAACAAGCAATGGGGAAAGGATTCCCTATTTAATAAATGGTGCTGGGAGAACTGGCTAGCCATATGCAGAAAATTGAAACTGGACCCCTTCCTTATACCTTATACAACACTTAACTCAAGATGGATTAAAGATTTAAATGTAAAACCCAAAACTATAAGAACTCTAGAAGAAAATCTAGACAATACCATTCAGGACATAGGCACAGGCAAAGATTTTGTGACAAAATACCAAAAGCAGTTGCAGCAAAAGCAAAAATTGACAAATGGTATCTAACTAAACCAAAGACCTTCTGCACAGCAAAAGAAATGATCATCAGAGTGAATAGACAACCTACAGAATGGGAGAATATTTTTGCCATCTATCCATCTGACAAAGGCCTAATATCCAGAGCCTACAAAGAACTTAAACAAATTTACAAGAAAAAACCAAACAACGTCATTAAAAAGTGGGCAAAGGACATAAACAGACACTTCTCAAAATAAGACATTCATGCAGCCAACAAACATATGAAAAAAAGCTCAACATCACTGATCATTAGAGAAATGCAAATCAAAACCACAATGAGATGCCATCTCATGCCGGTAAGAATGGTGATTATTAAAAACTCAAGAAACAACAGATGCTGGCAAGGTTGCAGAGAAAAAGGAACACATCTACACTGTTGGTGGGAATGAAAGTTAATTCAGCCATTGTGGAAGACAGTGTAGCAATTACTCAAAGATCTAGAAGCAGAAATACCATTTGATACAACAATCCCATTATTTAATTTATACCCAAAGGAATATAAATCATTCTATTGTAAAGATACATGCATGTGTATGCTCATTGCAGCACTCTTCACAATATCAAAGCCATGGAATCAACCCAAATGCCCATCAACAGTAGACTGGATAAAGAAAATGTGGTACATATACACCATGGAATGCTATGCAGCCATAAAAAGGAGGAAGATTATATCCTTTGCAGTGACTTGGGTGGTACTGGAAGCCATTATCCTCAGCAAACTAATGCAGGAACAGAACACCAAACAGCACATGTTCTCACTCATAAGTGAGAGCTGAACTATGAGAACACATGGACACAGGGAGGGGAATAACACACAGTGAGGCCTGTCACAGGATTGCGGAGAGGGAGAGCATTAGGAAGAACAGTGAATGCATGCTGGGTTTAATACATGGGTGATAGGTTGATCTGTGCAGCAAATCACCACGGCACATATTTACCTACGAACAAAGCTTTATGTCCTGCACATGTTCCCCAGAACTTGAAATAAAAGTTGATAAAACAAAAAAACAAAAAAGAAACCTGCACATGTACCCCTGAATCTAAAATAAAAGTTGAAAAAAAAGAAAAAAGAAAATCCCATTCCAACTATAAGACTGAAAGTCAATTGCACACATGAGAACAAAACTCAGCAAAATTCTCTATCAGACTATTCTATTTCCTCAATAATTTGTTCTTTTGGCCAATTCATTAAAATATTGTAACACCCTTGAAAACAATATTTTATTATAAACTTATTGGCAATTTTATAAAGAGAGATGACTACCAGTTCTAGAGTTTTTATCATAACATAGGCACTTGTGCCTGGCCAGCCTTCAAGTCACAATCATTTTGTGATGTTATTCTACTTCAGGCTGTTTTTCTGTCAATTTTCAAGACATTCTCTTGCCTGCCAGCTTCTAATCACATTGACAATATATGACAGCTGCTTGGAAGCCTATTTCTGATTAAATGTCCTTTAAAATTCACTGGATTTGGCAACAACTTTAAACCATTGGTTATCTGATGTCCTGGACATAGCTAGAGAAGCAGACGGTGTGGGACCCAGAAGGGAGTGGATTTATTTTTCCAAGAAATACCTTAGAACTCAATGACTTAGAGTCCGTCTTTATTTCAAACTTCATTTTTACACAGTTCATCTTTCTTACAAAAAAATGGATTTCAGAATGTGTAGATACAAGGATATTTCAGACAGAAATGATGAAGCTTTCAAGGCAATGTAAATTATTGATTCAAAAGTGGAAGTCATGTTCTTTCCAATGATTTTCTCATCGTCCAAAATCCTGGCTTTTAAAGTCAGACTTACTGGTGTTCATTTTTGGATTTTGAATTCCACTAGTTTTGTGACCTGAAGCAAATCACTTAAGATCTCTGAGCATCAGTTTTCTTTTAGATAAGGTAATTCATATCTTTCTTGCTATTATATTATTATGCTATTATATATTCCTTTCTATCCTGAGAGTTAAATAATCATCCTATACATGGGCCTGGTTAATGTTAACAAGGCTAGTACCTTCTTTCTTTCCCTGCTGGAATTGACTTTCATGCTTTATTGATGTCCTTTGATTTGTCAGTATCATCCAAACTTTTCTCTACAAGTCCTTCCACTTGCAAGATATCTCCTTGTAGGTTCATACCCACTCTCTTATTTTCCTTGTAACAAGTTTTCTGATCGAATGTGGATAACAATTTCTGCTGTTTTTAAAGTTGCATTGAATTTTCAGGGAGAATATGCCAAAACCTATGAAGAATTCAATATTATCAGAAAAGGTCATCTTTCCGCCCCTCTGCCACAATTTTCTACAAGTTTTCTTTTTTTTTCTTTCTTTTTCTCTTTTTGTTTGGTTTTGTTTTGTTTTTGAGACAGAGTTTCACTCTTGTTGTCCAGGCTAGAGTGCAATGGCCCAATCTTGGCTGACTGCAACCTCCGCCTCCCGCGTTCAAGTGATTCTCCTGCCTCAGCCTCCGGAGCAGCTGGGATTACAGCCATGAGCCACCATGCCCAGCTAGTTTTTGTATTTTTAGTAGACACAGGGTTTCTCCGTGTTGGTCAGGCTGGTCTCAAACTCTAATCTCAAGTGACTCACCTGCCTCAGCCTCCCAAAGTGCTGGGATTACAGGTGTGAGCCACCACACCCAGTCCCAAGTTTTTCTTAATGCATTTCTTTGTCTTTCTCAAATGCATGCTTTAGCTGTGCAGCTTCTTTCTCTGTCAACCTTTGATGGTCTTGTACATGAGGAATAAATTTGGTTGAGTTGAATCCATGAGGAATCTCTGGAAATGGAGACTTGGAGACATTTCCTTGGCTTCTCTAGTTCTAATCCCTTCTTAACTAGCTAGCATTAGCTTCTCAACTGTTCAAGAATACAATAATACTGCCTTCCTCAGTCTGTCCTCACTCAAGCTCTTCTAGGCTATGCCCTTCAGCTATGTTTTCATATCTCCAATTGAAATTATTCCAAACTAAGTCTTCTGAAGTTCAGAATCTGGCACAGCATTTTAGTGCACATGGAACACACTGGAATCTGAAAGACCCGGCACTGCAAGCATTTTAGTGCATTGACTTCTGCAGTGTGCAAGAGGGAGAATTTAGCTCATTGCCAAAGGCTGCACGTTAATCTCCTGCAGCTCATGTAGCAAAGCACCACAGATTGGATGACTTCCACAACAAAAATGGATTCTCTTACAATTTTGCAGGCCAGAGGTCTGAAGGCAAGGTGTCCGAAGTGTTGGTTCCTTGTGAGGCTATGAGGGAGAACCTGTTCCAGGCCTCTCTCCCAGCTTCTGGTGTTTTGCTGACCACCTTTGGTGTTCCTTGGCTTGCAAACTTCTGTCCTCGTCTGCACATCTCCTGTTTGCATGTCTATCTCTGCGTTCAAGTTCCCTTTCTATAAGAATACTGGTCATACTGGATTAGGACCCACCCATAGGACCTCAGTTTGACTTGATCATCCGAAAAGACCATTTCTCAATAAGGTCAAATTCACAGGTGCTGGAGGTGAGAACTTTAATATGTTTTGGGATGACAAAATTCATTCCATACTAGACCACTCCATTTTTGTTCTTTGTGGTCAAGATAGCTGATTTTTCTTTTCTCATTGACTAAGAAGAATGTCAGTAGGTGAGGTCTACAGGACTGAAACCCAAGTGCCACCTTCTCTCATCTGCACAGAAACAGGAACAGCTGAAGTTCACTTTCACAGGTCCCTATAAATGACTCATTTCCTCAGGTACCAGGCCTCCTGCTCTCCCTAGCTGGAAATTTGGTCAGAGGAAAGGGCTGCAATTTGCTAAAATAATTACCAAAGCTGTGGATGGATAATTCAAGTTTAGATCATACCATTTGAAAATGTTAATGTATCCTTTACATTTTGACTACCATTTATCTTCCAGCATTATTCTGAAATATACATTAAAATATTTTCTGCTAACTGTATTTATTGCAATCGTTCCTCTTCAGTTGTCTCACATCTGGAAAATATATGTGAGAATTGTTTCTTCAGGGATTCATGTATTTTTTAAAACTGTAGATGATGTAAATCTACACAGAGTTCATGAATAAGCAACCATTTAGGAGGTGCTGGGCACGGACACCCCACAGAGATTCTCAGGAATTCACAGCTCAACCCTGCAATGTGGATACGATGGTGCCTCTTTGTAGTCTCAGAGAAACTGTGATGGGCTCATTCCCATGAAGCTGAAGGCTTGCCATGCTGGGTCTTTCAGATTCCAGTGTGTTCCATGTGCTAAGAGCTATGACTTTTCTACGAATGTAGCCCAGAGTGAGGTTGTCTCTGAAGTCAGCCTGCCTAGGCTTGGATCCAGACCCCCACACTAGCTAAGTGAACCTAGACAAGTGATGTAATCACTCAGTGACTCAGTGTCTCCCAACCAAATACATGGTATTTACTTGTAGGGCTGTTGTGGAAATGACATGAAATTGTGTTGATAAAACATCTAATATAGGACCTGGCACATAAGAAATACATGATATATAGTAGCATCATGTATGTAATTGTCAATTAAAAGTCAATCTCTGTAAACTATTTGAAGAGATTTATTCTGGGCCAAATATGAGTGACCAATGCCTGTGATTCTGCCCTCAGGAGATCCTGAGAGCAGGTGCCCTAGGTGGTCAGGGCACAACCTAGTTTTATACATTTTAGGGAGACATGAGACGTCAATCAATACATGTAAGATATACATTGGCTTGGTCTGGAAAGGCAGGAAAACTTGAAGTATTGTCTGGGGAGTGCTTCTAGGTCACAGGTATAGTTAAAAATGTCCTGATTGGCAATTGGTTGAAAGAGTTATTATCAATAGAAAGGAATAAATGCCAGAATTACATACAATAAGGGGTTGTAGAGACCAAAGTTTTATCATGCAGATGAAGCCTCCAAGTAGCAGGCTTCAGAGAGACTAGATTAGGTTGTATATGTTGCTTATCAGACTTAACGTGTGTGTTGATGTTAAATGGTGGTTGGCTTTTCCTGAATTCCAAAAGGGAGGAGAGTATAATGAGGCATGTCTAACCCCCACTTCCCGTTATGACCTTAACCAGTTTTTCAGGTTAACTTTGGAATATTCTGGCTGAAAGGAGAGGTCCATTTAGATGGTTGGCTTTAGGATTTTATTTTTGGTTCACGTAACGAAGTGATAAGGTGGTAGAAAATAAAAATGTTATAACTTACTACGAAATAAGGGCAACTTAAGGAAGGAGAAGCCACGGTCTGTTGGAACCAAAGTCTCATGCTTTTAATTATCCTGCTGTGTTTTCTGTTCTTCTAAAGGCAGGAAAGCTGCCCTCTTGCTCGGGGAAGCTAACGACATCCCAATTCACTTACCTCGCCACACGTTTTTGCACCTCCTGTGATGACATAAACTCACTCACAGTTGTGGGAAGAGGTGGTGGTCCTTGGCAGAATGTGTTCTTGGCACAGTGGATTTGAGCTGAAATATGCCCTGGTCATGCTGAGATCCATCCAGTACGGCCATACCAGTTTTGCTCAAACTCAATTTTTCCACATTCAGGTGACCCTGAAAGGATGCAAAAATATTTGCTTTTGTTAGAAGTGCATTCTAAAAATCTAAAAGTGACACTTCAAAGCTCTTGCTCCTTCTCCAGGGATGGCTAGAAATAAACATGCTCACTATCAGCTTTTTGAATGTACCTTTGGGCCACATAGAGGAGCAGAACTGTTGTGTGGATTTTAACTTCGGTAGCTGTATTTAAATTGCCATCCGGCCTTGCAGCCTGAGGAATTCCGGGAAGCATTGTGTGATTTCACACTTACATTGGTAAAGTGAGGTTGCACATGAAAGCCTTCCTATCCTAGCACCTCACAACGTGAACAGAGAATGAGTTATAATGGAAATGAGAGGAAAAAAGAGGCAGCGAAAGAAGGCAGGAGAAAGGACACCAGCACACGTTTAAAATGAATTGTTTGATGGCTAGGTGGCTCACCATTAAGCACAACAATGAATTATCTAAAAATATTCAAAACAGCGTGGTGCAGCTCCACATAGCTCTTCCCTTTGTGCTCCTGGCAGTGCTTGGAAAGAGCTAACAGGGGTCCTGACCGGCTCATGTGATGCCTGGACTGGGAGAAGTAACAGGAGAGGGGTGCGTGTGACCCTTTCCACACTCCTCATTCTGTAGGAACAACCACCACAAAACCAAAACAAGCCCTCAGGGAGTCTATACTGGTGACTTCCTCAAGGGAGAAAACAGGGGAAAAAAGGAACAAAAAGGCCTACTTATCTTGAGTAATAAATTAAAAATTAGAGGAACAGATTGTAGGTAAGAAATACACACCCAGAGAACATCTCAGGAAGGCCTGGTGGAGTCCTCTCACAGCGGCCCAATCGCCTTCCATCAAAGCCATCTTGCTTCCAGGAGGGGCAATAGGTGTGGGGGTGGAACAGTCAGGTGAGGGCGAGGATCAGTCCATTTAGCGGGAGGGAGGCTGCAGGTACAAGTTCCCACCCAGGAAGGAGGACATAACCCAAAGAAGGTAAAATGTCAAATCAGGTTGGGCCGGGTGCCATGGCTCATGTCTGTAATCCCAGCTCTTTGGGAGACTGAGGTAGGTGGATCACCTGAGGTTGTAAGTACGAGACTAGTCTGACCAACATGGAGAAACCCTGTTAATACAAAATTAGCCGGGTGTGGTGGCACCTGCCTGTAATCCCAGCTACTCAGGAGGCTGAGGCAGGTGAATCGCTTGAACCCGAAGGCGGAGGTTACCGTGAGCCGAGATTGTGCCATTGCGCTCCAGCCTAGGCAATAAAGGCAAAACTCCATCTGAAAAAAAAAAAAAATAGTGTCAAATCAGGTTAATGTTGACTGCTGGATTCCAGGACATCTTGCAACAGGATATGCTCCCTTGGCTTAAAGATACTCAAGAGAAGTGCAGAGGACAGGGCAGAGTCTGGGACTACCTATGTGGCTGCTCATTGTCCTCTCTGAGCCTGTACCTCTCCACCCGGAACATCAGACCTGAGCACACAATGACCACATCACTGTACAGGGGACGTGGAGCAGGTCCGTGCAGCCTGAGAAGGAAGCTCTTACAGCCAGAGGGGTTCTTCTTGCCTCTTGCCCCAAAAGAACCAATGGGAACCAATATCGCAGCCAAGAAAGAATTTAATAACCACAGGGCCAGCCAAGACTAGGAGAGCAGGGAGAAACTTCTGCAACTCATCTCTCCAGTAATTCAGAGTCTAGGGTTTTTAGAGGGTACTTTAGTGGGCAGGGGGCTGGGGAACTGGAACAACTGATAAAAATCACAGGAGCGTCTAAAATTGTCTTCTTTCAGCTGAGTCAATGCTGGGAGGGGGTCTCAGGACCAGGTGGCATCTCTTAGTCTGCCTGAATGCCAAACCTGAAAAACATCTCAAAGACCAGTTCTTTAGGTTTATTGATAGTTATGTTATCTCTAGGAGTGGTTGGGGAAGTTATAAATCTTGCAACCCCCAGTTACATGATTCTGGGGCAGTCAGCAACTTTTAGGAAAACGTGCTCCACAATGGCAGATCATTGATTAATGCTGCCTATTCTTTAGCAAAGTTCAGGCCTTACCGTAATTCTAACCTCTCTTAAGAATGTAGCTTCGATCTCCTGGCAAGGAGGGGGTCAGTTTCCCTTGCCTCTAAGTTGAACTGGAAACTAAATTTCTCTCATGGCCATCTTGGCCTCTGGACTAGAATAAGCAAAAAAAAAAAAAAAAAAAAAAAATCGCCCATGATGTTAGATGCAATATGGAGTCAGTCATGTGAGATTTCTCTCATTACTTATAATTCTGGAAATGTGGTTTTTAAATCTAGGAGAATCAATCCACATCATATTAGTACAAAGAGAAGTTCTTAGGCTGGGTGCAGTGGTTCACGCCTGTAATCTCAGCACTTTGGGAGGCCAAGACAGGAGGCTTACTTGAGCCCAAAAGTTGGAGACCAGCCTGGGCAACAAAGTGAAACCCCATGTCTACAAAATTAAAATATTAGCCAGGCATGGTGCTGCATGAGATGGGAGGGTAACTTGAGCCTGGGAGGTGGAGGCTGCAGTGGGTCATGATCATGCCACTGCATTCAGCCTGGGTGACAGAGTGAGACCCTGTCTCAAAAAATTAAATAAATAAATAAAAATAAAAAATAAATAAATAAAATAGAAGTTTTGGACAGAGTCATCCACCTTCAAATCACGGTATTTATGCAGCAATCAATACCTGAAGAAGAGGAGAGAGAAAGAGAGGGACTGGAAGGTGGGAGAGTGAAAAAAGGAAAGAAAGGAAGCAAAAGATGAAGGAGGCTGGGTGTGGTGGCTCACACCTGTAATCCCAGCACTTTGGGAGGCTGAAGCAGGTGGATCATTTGAGGTCAGAAGTTTGAGACCAGCCTGGCCAACATGGTGAGACCCTGGCTCTACTAAAAAATACAAAAATCAGCCAGGCATGGTGGCATGTGCCTGTAATCCCACCTACTCAGGAAGCTGAGGCAGGTGAATCACTTGAACCCTGGAGATGGAGGCTGCAGTGAGCTGAGATTGCACCACTGCACTGCAGCCTGGGCAACAGTGAGACTCTGTAAAAAAAATTAAAAAAAAAAAAATTTAAAAAAAGATGAATGGGAAATAAAAAGTCACTAATATTTTACTCTATGCAGAAGAATATGTAAATAATGATTTACATTTAAATAAGCTCAAACATAGGGTATTAAATGGAGCTAAAGACAGAGATTGTGGTGATTAGAAAATTCCAAATAAAATTTATATATTACTGAAGAAAGGGAAGAAATAGAAATAGCAAAGGAAAAAGTCAGAACAGCTTAAAACTAAATTACAGATATAGAAAAATGGTTTTAAATAAGCACCATGAATGCTGAGTAAAAAACAACTTTATTAAAACAATTAAAGGAAAGATAATACATTATGGAGAAAAAATAGGTAATCTAACACTAAGATAATACATGCCTTTGTAATAAATAACTCTTAAAAGGAAAGCAAAATTTTTATTCAAAGTTTTAATGAAATGGAATTTTCCAGAAGCAAAGAAAGAACTGCTTGTGTGGGTCACAAAGACATACTTAGTTCCAGAAAAATTGATATAAAATGCCCAGCATTGAAACTTATTCCATTTGTTAGTGAATTTTAGTGAAAAAGGGAATTTGTTCAGATCACCAGCAGACAAAGCAAGTTACTTAAAAAGAGGAAAAATAAATTGGCCTCAGATTTCTCCAGAGCAGCATCTGATACCAGGAAGACAGTCCTGAGGGAAAGTGGAATGCAAGATGTCCGTCCAAGGGTCAAGAGAGAGGACGGACCACAAATACGAAGAACCTCAGCAAGCATGATACCCGAGAACACTTTTAGAAAAAGAACCAGACCACAGAGTTTAGCCAAGCAACAATTCAACTTGGAAGCGTGGAAAAATGTTCTGGTGTAAGGTGTTAAACACTTGTACATGTAGAAGAATGACTAAACTGGGGGAAACATGATTCAAAAGGTAAATGTTCTAATTCTCAACATTGTGTCACAGGATCTTTTATTGGAAAAGGAAAAGGATGACTATGATACAAATATAAAGTGAACATATGTCAAATATTTTATTTAACTTAAAAAATTAATGAGACTACTTATAAAATGTTATAACCAGTTCAAAAGAGAATTCAAAAAACGACCAATGGGCCAGGCACATTGGCTCTTGTAATCTTAGCACTTTAGGAGGCCAAGGTGTGAGGATTGCTTGAGCCCAGGAGTTTACACCAGACAACATAGTGAGACCCTGTCTCTACCCAAAAAAAAAAAAAATTACCTGGGCGTGGTGGCACATGCCTGCGGTCCCAGCTACATGGGAGGCCAAAGTTGGAGGATTGCTTGAGCCCAGGAGTTCAAGGCTGCGGTAAGCTATGATCACCCCACTGCACTCCAGCCTGGGTGACAGAGCGAGAATTTGTCTCAAACAAACAAACAAAAAACACAAAAACAAACAAAAATAAAACTAACAACATATAGGACATAAAGAACTCTGAAGTCTATTTACAAATAGATGTAAAGCAGCTCTATCCACAGGACAATAAGCAACCTAGAATTAATTCACATTTCTATGGATGAGATGTTTGCATTATCATCAGTTTTCTACTACCTACCAAGTTGCAAAATAGCTCAAAGACCATGAAAGGCAGTGATAACCCAGATGGATGAGCTGGATAGGAAATCAACTACACTTTTCGTTGCCCATTTTAGTCTTTCATAGCTTTTATTGACAATTGTAAAAGTTATAATATATGAATCAAAAGCACAATAAAATGGAAGAAATTATATATGTGTTATTTTTCTTACTTTAAGGATGCTGGATAACTTCTTAGGTATATAAATCAAAGAAAATATATTTATATTTATTCTGTAAAGGCACTGCAAGAGTCTCCAGAAAAAAAAAAAAAAAAAACTAAGATTAATTTGATAGTTAATTTTATATGTCAGCTTGAGTGGGCCATGGGGTTCCCAGATTAAACATGTTTCTTGGGGTGTCTGTGAGGGTGATTCCAGGTGAAATTAGCATTTGAATCAGTGAACTGAGTAAAGTAGCATGCCCTCTCCAAAGTGGTTGAGCATCATCCAACTCATTGAGGGCCTAAAAAGAATAAAAGTTGGTGCTCTAGTTTGGATATTTGACCCTCCAAATCTCATGTTGAATTTTAATCTCCAATAATGGAGGCAGGGCCCAGTGGGAAATGATAGGGGTGGACCCCTCATGAATAGGTTAATGCCCTTCCTTGCAGTTGAGTGAGTTCTGGCTCTGTTAGCTACCACAAGAGCTGGTTGATACAAAGAACCTGGCACCTCCCTGCACTCTCATGCTTCCTCTCTTGCCATGTGATCTCCGTACATACAGGCTCCCCATTCCCTTCTGCCATGAGTGCAGGCAACTTGAGGTCCTCACCAAAAGGAGATGCAGGTGCCATGCTTCTTGTACAGACTGCAGAACTATGAGCCAAATAAACTGCTTTTCTTTATAAATTACCCCACCTATAATTTATAGGTGTATATTCCCTTATAGCAACAGAGACTAAGATAGGTAAAGAAAGGAGAAATTCGCTCCTTTTTCCTATGTGACTACTTGAGATGATGCATCTCATCTCATTTTCTCTTGTCCTCAGATTGGGATGTACATAATCAGTTTCTCTGGTTCTCAGGCCTTCAAACTCAGACTGAATTACATCATTGACTTTCTTGGTTCTGTAGCTTGCAGACAGGAGTTTAAGGGACTTCTCAGCTTCCTAACTATGTGAAGCAACTCCTCATAATAAATCCCTCTCACCCACACAAAGCAATATGCACATACATATATTGCTGCTTTGAATGGTTGAACACTTTTTTTTTTTCCTTTCCAAACTCATGTGTTGGAAACTCAATCCCCAATGCGACAGCGTTGGGAGGTAGATCCTAATGGGAGTTGATTAGGCCATGGCACCCTCAATAATGGATTAACGCTGCTATAAAAAGGGCTTGTGGG